TTTCTTCATTTCTTCCTTTCTTCATTTCTTTCTTTCTTTCTTCGTGTCTTTCTTTCTTTATTTCTTAAATGAAATTCTTCAAAAAGAACACAAAGAATGGCCTTCTCAGCTGCCATAGCTGCAACTCTTGCGTCATCAGAACAGTGTTCAACGCACCGCCGTTTCCGTTTAAACACGTTTTGCACCGTTTTGTCGAGCTGAACGCAGCCCTGGTTCTCTGATCTTGCGTAATGGTCACATGACATGCAAGTAAACAAATCAAATTTAGTTTTTATTTTGTATACTTATTTATTTTTTATTAATTTATACGCATGGGTTCACAAACGCCAATTTGGGAGACCCTGGGGTTAAGAGATCTAAAATATAGCTACACAACGGTAAAAATGTAATTAGCCTATATAAATATGTCACAACGATCTTTATATTATTATTATTATTATTGTTATTAAATTTTGGGGGGGTCTTTAGCATAGGGTTTCTGCCACATATGGCCAAAAATATACATAATTTTCTCTCTCTCTCTCTCTCTCTCTCTATATATATATATCTGTATGTATATAAATACACATAAATAATACATAAAATATACATATTTTCCAATATATATATATATATATAATTGTATTTTTTTAAATATAATAGTATATTTTAAAGCATTTTAAAAAATATATTTTTTTCCTTCCATAAAATTGAAATCCATTAAAAAAATACATTAATCACATTTGAAGAAAAAAAAAACTTTATTTGTTGTGAACATATAACACATTTGAATAAAAATAAATAATGAATAAAACCTAAATGTAGGCTACTGTATTTTATTGCACCTAAAATAAATTTTAAATATATATTTTGGTACATGAAGGTTGAAAATATATATATTTTCAATTTCAAAAATATATTTCATTGAGCTTTGCTGTTTACAACATATATTCAGCTTATATTTTAAATATATTTTGGTCATAAAAAAAAAGCCAAACAAAAAATATGTAATTTTATTACAAATATCATGTGAAGTTCTTTCTCTAATTTAAGACTTCTGTAGATATCTAAGACTTTTTAAGCACCCGTGGGTTCCCTGGTTCTTATATATATATATATAGCCTATAAACCAGATATTACCTAAATTCATTTGAAAGCTAAGGAATGCCTGAATTTTATGTATATGGTAGGAATGGTGAATGGAGGTCAAAACACTCTGGATTTTTTGTATGAAATTGCAGGTTAGGTTTAATTACAGTCTGTTGTACTGACATGCCCAATCACACCCATGTACACTAATATCACATAGTTATTCTGAGATACTGAGTACAACATTTATCTGAATCACACACCCAGCGGATGTACAGTCAGGCTAGAAGAAAGAGGTTACATACAGTGCGGCCTGGCCACTTATTAATACAGTATTTGACTATGCATTTACAATAAAGGAAATATTGGTTTACTGTAGGCTATTTGTATATACATGTTGTTCCATTGTAGAAAAAACTTGAATTGTTAAAGAAATAATACTCCTTTCTGTTGCCTGCTGCCTACAGACGGGATTCTGGAAATGCAACAGAAATGAGTAGCCTATTATTTCTTTAACACATATATAATATTAGTTTTATCACATATAATATTTCATTTTAATCTTCATATGCAAAATATATACAGTACAAAGTATATTTCCAAATGTCGTTGAGCAGCAAGAAAATACATTTCAAATCTTACAATAGCCTATAGGCATTATTCATTGTTATTATTTTCCTTTTTCTTTTAATATAGGCTACATATATAGCCTCTCTATATATTAATGCTTTAAAGATATATTTCGATTTTTAAAATGTTTTTTTTTTTTTTATATATATACCAAAAAATATATTGGCAGAAAATGTATTTACACAAATGTATTTTTAAACATATTTTAGCTTTTTTTATTTTTTTTATTTTTTTGTATATAGAAATATTTAAAAATATATATATACGTATATATTTTAAAAATGCATATTTTTGCTGTATGGGATGTACAATAAAATAAATATGGGTCTTATGCATGTACTTATTGTGCATTTACATGTTGTTCCATTGCACTTTTTAAAGAATGTGATTATTTATAATTACAACCCTATTAAATTACAAAGTGTATTAAACCTTCACAACCTCAACAGCAGCAAACGCAAATCTTGTGAGAGTTTTCCAGAACAGCATGTATGTGCAATTGTATTAAATGCTTATTTTTGAAGTACAAGACACTTAACATAAAGTGGACTGATGGCTTTGCTATTTGCAACCTGGTTGTTAAAAGCACAGGAAGAAGAAGACCAGGTTCAAAAGTTTTGAATAATCCACACTGAAGACGATCCAAACAAAGAAGGCAAACTAAGCACAACCACAGCACTGACAAGACTGGACAAACTGAACTGAAACAAGGGGAACTTAAATACACAGAGCCAACCAGGTATTAATGATATATAGCTGAACTGAAATAACTAATCATCTGTAACCATGACAACTAATAAGTGGCGGGAAAACAAAGGAAAACAGGAAGGAAGGAATACAAATTAAACTACATGACACACATAACAGATAATTCGTTACAGCTACAGTGCCTTCAAGACATATTCAACCCCATTAATTACACCTATATTTTAACACTTTTCAATTTTTGGAATTTTTGCAGTTGTGGTTGCCGGAATTTTACCGTAAAAAATACGATAGCAACATTTTAGGTTTTACGGTTTTAACTTAAATTTAAAGTTAAATACTATAAAAATTAATAAAATAAATAAATATAAAAACTGATAAGAAAAAACTAAGAAGAAACAGTTATTTCAACAAAAAATACATCAAATTTGAAATGTAACGCAGGGAATTCTGGGAATGTCAATTTACGGTTATTCACTGTAAATTATACGGTCTAACAGTTATTTCAACAAAAAATACATCAAATTTGAAATGTAACGCAGGGAATTCTGGGAATGTCAATTTACGGTTATTTACTGTAAATTATGTGTCTTTTTCACTTCCAAAAACGGTGTACTACCGTAAAATTAATGTCCAATACATGTAATGTCCAATACAGTTTTTCACCATATATAGTAGGGGAATTTACTGTTAACCATTTAACAGGTTTTTACTGTAGCATTTTTACAGTCTGTTACCGTTAAATTCACGGTCATTTTTTACTGTGTAGGCTTTAACTTGACTTTGCTACAGCAAAATAAGAACTTGTTTTGTTGGATTGTTAGAGAACTAGCTCTCTCATTTAAAAAAAAAAAAGGTACAAAAGCTGTCACAGGGGCGGAACCCTCTCAAAAGCTATACATCTGTACCTTTTTAACCCCTAAAGGGTGCATATAAGTACCTTAAAGGCATTATATATAGTACCTAAATGGTACATATTTGTACCTTTGGAACAGGCACCGCCCTACTGACAGCTTTACCTTTTTTTCTGAGAGTGTACTGCATTTCCAGAGTCCTGTCTGTATCCATATCCTTCACCACACCCAAACACATTCAGTGTTGGTGACATGCCCATAAAGAGAAGGGAAGAGCTGAAGTCTGTAACCGGAGGGCATGTTTTCTTACGCACAGGGCGTGTGGAGACTTCTCTAGACTGGGTGTGGAAGCTGAGAAAACAAACGTGAATCATTCTGATCAATGTGTGACGCCTCAGACACTCACTGCTTGTCATAGTTACTAACAACGATACGTTAAAACAGCTGACGAATGAAAGACATAACAACATAATAGCAAATGTGAGAGCTTCGTGGGAAGATTAATATTAAATAATATAAACTTTAGCTCAGGGAACAGTTCTCACTATTAACTAGTTGCTTATTAGCATGCATATTACTAGAACATTAGCTGTTAATGCCTTATTATGCATATTTTAGCTCCATGAACCCTTCCCCATATCTAAACCTAACAGCTACCTTCTAACTATTGATAAGCAGAAAAGTAGGTCTTTACTGATGCAAAAGTCATAGCTAATAGTGCAAATTGTTCCCTAATCTAAAGTGTTACCAGTAATTTAATATAATAACAAAATGTGATACAATAAATTCAACAACCTCAGTTAATGCATTAGGCACAATTAACTAATAAATTTTTAGCATTTCAATTAATTGTATTATTTATAATTAATAAACGCTGTATTTATTAATTTTTTATTAGGGATTAAACTATATTGCTACCTATAACTATTAGTAAGCAGCAAATGAAGGGTTATTGAAGTCATAGTTAATAGTAAATCGTGAGAATTGGTCTCTAAACTAAAGTGTGGCCAAAAACATATATCAAAACAATGGTCACACTTTAGTTTGGGCAACAATTCTCCCTATTAACTAACTATTATCTATGGCTTTTGCCTCCAGAAACTCTTAATTTGCTGCTTACTAATAGTTAGTAGTTATTAAGTTTAGGTATGGGGTGGATTAATGAATCTAGAATATGGTCATGCAGAATGAGGCATTAATATGTGACCCTGGAGCACAAAAGCAATCTTAAGGAGCACATGTATATTTGTAGAAATAGCCAATAATGCATTGTATGGGTCAAAATTATCAATTTGTCTTTTATGCCAAAAATCATTAGGATCTTAAATAGGCTTAAGATAGTTTTGTAAATTTCCTACCGTAAATATATCAAAACTTAATTTTTGATTAGTAATATGCATTGCTAAGAACTTCATTTGGACAACTTTAAAGGCGATTTTCTCAATCTTTTGAAATTTTTTTTTGCACTTTCAGAATCCAGATTTTCAAATAGTTGATTATGCTTTATAAACAGCCAATATGCGTGTATGCATGCTAATAAGCAACTAGTTAATAGTGAGAATTGGTCCCTAAACTAACGTCTTACCAAAACAATACTGTCTTTCGGTTTGTCTTGAATGTGAGGGTTTTGCGGTATTTCTCAGGTGTTGAGTACAGGACACACGTCTGACTCAGTTCCTGGTTCATCTGGAGATTGACGCGTCAGCGCACGTCTGGGGCGTTTCTCTCCGTCTTTAAGAAGCGCACCTGAGCGCGACGCGGGTTATTTCACGGGAATGTCAGGATCAGTGGCGTGGAGGAGCGCGGCTCTGAGGGCCCTCGCGCTCGGGGCCCTGCTGGCGCTGGTTTCTGGGGGACCCAGACCCGAGAACAGGAGGGAGCACGCAGAGTGGACGCAGAGAGTTCAGTATCCGTCTCTTCACGACACACAGCGCGTCCAGATCCCCTCAGTGGACGATCCACAGGTACAGAGACAGATCTGATGCATCTTTGTGAATGAAAACAGGTTATTAGCCTTATGCGTTTTGTCTATAATTTAATTCAGCTTTCATAATTGCCAAAACCGATTTGTTTAATTTCTATACTGTATACAGAGGTATGAAGTATAAGTACACTGAAGAAAACACTCAGAAATTGCTAGTAAATGTTATAAACCATCACAAAGAAATGGCAAGTAAAACATTGTAAAATGTTACTTTAATAATCTCTCTCTCTCTTTTTTTTTTTTTTTTTGTACAACTTCGAAAAATAATGTTTTACACTTTTTTTGGACATTGTGTACATTAGATGATTAATACTTTTTACTCGTTCAGACGTCAATATAGTCACTCGTTTTGATTTTAGATTAGCTAAAATGAAAATGGAAAATAAAAAATACAAACTGATTTAGACTATTAATAAAAACCATAACAGTATCTCAATAATACTAAAATAACAATGCATTGGATGTACCTTATCCATTCAGTTCAGTATTTCATTATTTTTGCCCTCACTTTTGTTTCGTGTATATTTTACCATTAATCCAAAGCTTTGAAAGACGTTTATTTATTTAAACAAACACCCAGTTCTGCTTGTTTCTCTCTTGTTAGAGGTCTTTTATGTAGACCACTTGAGTATCAAAGTCATGACTTAAAATGCATGCTATTTTTTCAGTCAGATATGCTCATATGCTGCTGAACATTTATAGCCAGTGACATTAATTTCAGCATAATTTGTATGGTCATGAAAAGATTTTTCATAGATCACTAAAGCTATAGAGTTATAGACATAGCTGAATGTAACTGAAGTGTAGACGATTTCAGATAAATGAGATCAATACCTAATATGTGACAGCCTGGCATTGCGAACTGTGATTTAATTTGACGAGTAAATGATAAAAAAAAAATAAAAAAAAAGATGAACCATCCCCTTGAGTATAATCAAATGTGGAAACACTTTTTTCCCCCACTTTTTTGAAGTTTGTCTTTGTCTGGGTGCTTTTACTTTTGACAGAGTTCTTTCATCTAACTATAATTGTTCAGTACATTTTCACCTCTTGACATATGTGACCCTGGACCACAAAACCAGTCATAAGGGCCAATCTGAAAACTGAATAAATACGCTTTCCATTGATGTATGGTGTGTTAGGATAGGACAATATTTGGCTGAGATACAACTATTTGAAAATCTGGAATCTGAGGGTGCAAAAAAATCTAAATATTGAGAAAATCATCTTTAAAGTTGTTCAAATGAAGTTCTTAGCAATGCATATTACTAATCAAAAATTAAGTTTTGATATATTTGCAGTAGGAAATGTACAAAATATCTTCATGGAACATGATCTTTACTTAATATCCTAATGATTTTTGGCATAAAAGAAAAATCAATAATTTGACCCATACAATGTATTGTTGGCTATTGCTACAAATATACCCAAGCGACTTAAGACTGCTTTTGTGCTCCAGGGTCACAAATATGTTATACATACAACTTAAAATTTAAATAATAAAAACCATATCTCAATAATACTCAAATAACACTGTATTGGACATGTCCAAATACTTTATCTATTCATTGTAGCATTTCATGTTTTGTTGTGGTTGTTTGTTTTGTGTAATCAGTTATTCATTTATTTCTTTAAACAGAGATGCTCTGCTGGTTTCTATCTGGACAGAAGTGGTCTGATTGCTCGTTGTGTTCGCTGCTCCTGTAACGGTTTCTCTAACGAGTGTGAGGAAAACACCGGCCGGTGTCTGGTAATAATGTGCTCTGTCTTCAGTATTGCTCCATGGATTTGTGTTTAGTTTAGTAACACGAATGCTCTGTGTAACAGAAGTGCGGTGATAATACAGCAGGTGATCACTGTGAGCGCTGTAGAGACGGATTTTACTCAAACGCTGCTCAGAGGAGATGCAGCGCGTGCCCATGTCCTCTCAGCAACAAGTAAGACCCACATCTGTGACGGAAACAGCACTGACCGTTTTAATAAGGCGAAACACTGCAGGCAAAAACATTATTGTTTTGATATTTTGGGCTTTTTGGCTTTTCATGTTGTTACAGACTAGTGGACAGAAAACATGCAAAATACACTTTTATGTGTTTATTTTATTGCACTTTATCTATATGCAGTTACAGCCACAAAATATTCATCAGCACAACTGTTTTCAGCATTGATAATAATCAGAAATGTTTCTTGAGCAGCAAATCAGCATATTATACTGATTTCTGAAGATCATGTGACACTGAAGACTGGCGTAATGATGCTGAAAATACAGCTGCGCATCACAGAAATACATTACATTTTAATATATATTCACATGGAAAACTGGCATTTTAAAATGTAATAATATTTCACTTTTTTTTTACTGTTTTTTAAAATCAAATAAATGCAGCCTTTGTGAGCAGAAGAGACTTTCTGAAGTGTTTTACTGAGGGGTTTGTTCATATATCATTCACCTGATTTTATGCAACATCTTATTCCTAAAAAAATGGAAAAATGTGTGTGTGTGTGTGTGAGAGAGAGCGAGAGAGAGAGAGAGAGAGAGAGAGAGAGAGAGAGAGTTTTTTCAACTGTTGACAGTATTTTCTGATTTATGGAGTGATAAAAAGAGAAATCCAAAATCCCCTCTGTAAAAAACTTTAACTCTAATAATTAATATTTTTTGTTCTGGAAATGTATGCAAAAGTGCATATTTAATAGGATAATGCTTCATTTGAATATTCAAACATAACATTTCAGAAAACATGTTTGTAATCGATCAGCTGAGGAAGTATGGTGATATCCGTTATTAAGAGGATATTGTGCCCACTATTTATTTAAATGTAAATATACCTAATAAAACAGTACATCGTGAAGTAATGATGGCCTCTCTTTCTTCAGTTTTGCTCTGGGCTGCACTGAAACCGAAGGCAGACTTCTGTGTCTGTGCAAAGACGGTTACACGGGCGAAAGATGTGAGCGGTGAGTGATTCACTTTCCTAAACTTTCCAAAACTGATCTTTCCATCAAATATCCCTGTGTGCTTCACATGCTCTCTGCAGTATGTAAAAATCTGTGACTTCACATCCATGCTGAAAAGACAAGCTTAAACCAACATGCATTTCTTTCTATGCTTGTCCAGGCTGGTTTAAGATGATCAGGTACTGGTCAATCAGCATGGATTTTCTACTCAAGCTGGATGTTCAGTTTTTGAGTCAACATTGCCAGAATGATCCACAGATAATGCATTTTTGCTCAAAAGGTGAAGTGCATAAGGTCAGATCATTGAGGCTTGCAATCAATCAGCCAGCTCCAAAATGAAATACAAAACCTGTGCTTATTGAAAGAAAAGAAATTGATAAAAAGATTGAATCCAAGATAATATAGCAAAACGAGAGATTTACAGGTGCTTTTTAAAAGGCTGGTCGTTGTGACTGGGAGCGCTGCATCTGTTTGGTGTTATGCGTGTGCTGTAGAGATGAATCTGTATGTGCTCATGTCTCTGCAGATGTGCTCCGGGATATTACGGCGATCCTCTGGTCTCCGGTGGACGCTGTCGTCTGTGCAACTGTCCTGGAAACCTGTGTGACTCTAAGACTGGAGGTGTGTGTGTGTGTGAGTGTGAGTGCGTGTGCGTGTGTGAGTGTGTGTCTGTGTGTGTGTGTGTATTATATGCATTTAGCTCTTCATGGGTGATTATCATATTTCAACTCAAAATGATAACAAAAAATAGCACAATTACATTGAAAAAAAATATATAAACATATCCTCCCCTCTCACCCCCAACACAAACCATTTCTCAATACCACTGCAAAAATATTCTAAAACATCATAATGCATATGGATGTTTTACTTTTAATTTCTAATATTCATTGCTATTGCCATAATAGTTACTTTTAATTATTATTATTTATTATTTAAACCAGAATAAATGAATGGCAATACAAAAAAATAATACTTTTTTTCTACATTTGGTTGGAAATGTGCCATGACAATAATGTTCTAATGCAAATAAATTAAGAAATAAATAAACAGACAGATAAACAGACATAAATAAATATGTTGATCCTTTAAGTTCTTTGATTTCCTTTAAGTAGCATTCTATTTCTTATAGTAAATGTAAAATTAGACCTGAACATCTTCTATGTGAAATTCACCCATAAAGTATTTTTTCTCTCTCTTTTTTATGGCTAATGCCAAGCTGTGTTTGTCTGCAGTAGATTTGTAATGGGTAGTTTTTTATGCATATTGCAGCTGAGGGATGAAATAATCACTTGTGTGAGTATTTTTATTCACAATATTTCTCATTCCTCTATATAGTGTGCAGGAATTCTCTGGAGCTCCAAGACACAAACACAGAAGAGCAGTGTGAAGGTAGAGGATGTTATTAGCATCACACAAACCACTGGGCTTAGTTGTTTTCATAATTTTATTATCTTGTGTTATTTTGTAATGGTGTGTGTGTGATTTTTTTCAGAGTGTGATAACTGTGCACAGACACTGCTGAGTGATCTGGAAAAGCTTGATATTGAGCTCAGAAGAATTAAAGATCAACTGGATTTCGACTCTCTCAGACCTTCATCTAAAGAGCATCTGAGGAAGCTTGAAGAAGCCATCACAGCCACAACGGTATTCCTTCATCTCCTTTCCTCCTTTCTTACTCCTCCATCAGGGGAAAATCCACATAATGTAGTCATATGACATTGTTATATCAAGTCAAAGGTTATTAGTGCACATAGAACAAGTGTGATCATGTACACACACACACACATGAAATAAGTATGTGGTTTAAAATATCATAGCATTTATCGTTTACCTCAGAATCCACATCGGCTCACTCATCAACACGATGCAGCATCACATTAAAATGAGTCTGGAACATTCTGTGGGCAATTTGGTGATTCAGCGAAATTTACAGACATGACTGAAGATTTGCAGCATTGAAAAGGTGTTTCAACCACTAAGAAAAAAAAACCCATAATTTTATGAGTAGGTTTAGTCAGCAGGTCTAGTCAGCAAATAAAATAAATCTTCAAGTGTCTAACATTATTTGCAAATTACAAACCTCAGTGGTATTTATTAAGAGTACAGACCTGCATTTAGTATCTTTTAAATGTTTTTTCCATGTGCTTTCACTGCAAACAGGCTGTAAACCTCATTATTCTCCTGACTACACTTTAGAAAACCATATAAGACCTTTCCCCAACTCAATAAGCATCAACAGAACAGATGTCTTGTTAATGTTTTCATGATGCAGTGACAAGAACGGCCCAGACTATACTCTGATGGCCAAGTTTCTGTTTTGTTAATGCTGACATCCAAAGTTTTTAAGAACAAACATGAACAATGAATAACAAATCTCATTATATTCATGATGTTTTTCTTTCAGAATCTGGTGAACACGTTCAGCTTCACCGTCGACAATCAGGTGCCTAAAATTAACCAGCTGGAACAAGATGTTATGAATCTGGCCGAAGATATGGACAGTCTGAAAGAACAGGTACTAGAAGATGTGTTTTCTGATACAAAAACATGCAGGTTTCATGTAGAATACTGTTTATAAGCAAGTGAGAAATCCCAAACATCTATATTCTTTCAAATCATTTCATAATATACAAAAAAGGGCCACAAACTATATTTGTTAAAATATGTCTAAAAATATATTTGCATACATTTTTACTTTTACTTTTTTTTTTGTTGACATTTTTATATTTTTTGAAAAAAATATGCATTTTTGAAAGCATTTCATTTTTTTTTTTGCTGTGGCTGTTTTTGTTTGTTTGCTCTCCATATATTTCAGTCCAAGAAAATATATTCACATTTCACATTTTAAGAAAAAAACATAAACAAGGAGCATACTTTACAATGTTTACAATGTTGTTTTTTTGGTATATGTTGAAACTAAATATATTTCCAATTTCTAAAATATATTTCGAGATCTGTCCATTTTCATTACACTTGCTGTGGATCAAATAATTCATCACGCATAATTCATCATTTTATGTCCAGGTCAAAAAGCAATCTGAGGATGCACAGAAAGCTCTCGCTAACGCTGAAAACAGCCACCAAAGAGCAAAAGATCTGGACACCGAGACACAGAACCTCCTCAGAAAAATACAAGGTAAGAACACAAACAGATTTTTTAATAATAATTATCTGTAATTCTGTGTGGTATATGAGAGCAGATGTGTTTTGTAGAAGTGTTCATTTAATTGGACAGCAGTTTAGTAAATAAAGCTTCTCAGAAAAGAAGGTATAAAGGGGCACCTGTCAAAAGCTACTAATATGTCTTTTGGAAGTACTAATATGTATGTTTAAGGAACTAATTTGTACCTTTTAGGGGTAAATAAGGTACAAGGATTGCATGGGTTTGTCCCATAATGCACTGCCCTGAGTGAAAAAATTAAATAAAAATCTCAAACACTTTTGGGACTGAATCTTTGTGATAAACATGAATATGTATGCATATTGATGAGCCATTGCAGCTTGACAAATGAAACACTTCTTTAAATCTGAAAGTAATAATTTATGCAACTAAAATCATTAAATGCATTCATTTATTAAATACATTTATTTTGTATTATTTAGTAGTATATAAGTATATAAATATATAAGTTATTTAGTAGTATTTATTTATTTTTTTTAGTAATTTGTTTTGTTTAAAATATAAATATGTAAGTTTCATAAATGTGTTGTTTTTGAGCAATCGTGTGTTATAAATACAAAGGAATTTAATTAACTTATATTCGTTCCAGTGGGGTTAATTATGGTTTATGTGTAATTTGAAAGTTTTTGAAGTTTTTTAATTACTTAAAAATACATAAATGCAGTAATAACATGGTAATAACACAGTACATTCACTCATTAATAAGCAAATTCTCATTCTAATATTCTCATTAATGCATGAATGTGAAAGATGTGAAAACATTTCAGTTTTGAATGTTACTATGTTATTACCATGTTATTACTGTATTTACCTTTAATAGTATTAAGTCATGACTGTTTTATAAAATAATGATTTTTCGGGTCCAAACGGATCCATAATGTAAAAATAGCATACCAATTTTGAACACATTATGAGGGTTAAACACTCAGGCTACAAATATGGTAGGTTAATAATGTCTTTTTAGATTTAAAAAAGTAAGATTTCGTTGTAGAAATTTTAGAATTTATATCAATTTGAAAAAAGTATTTAATAATGCTTAAGTAATCAGTACTGTATTTATGATATGTGAAGCAGTTTTAAGTCGCTGGGGTATATTTGTAGCAATAGCCAACAATACATTGTATGGGTCAAAATTATACATTTTTCTTTTGTGCCAAAAATCATTAGGATATTAAGTAAAGATCATGTTCCATGAAGATATTTTGTAAATTTCCTACCGTAAATATATTAAAACTTAATTTTTGATTAGTAATATGCATTGCTAAGAACTTCATTTGAACAACTTTAAAGATGATTTTCTCAATATTTAGATTTTTTTGCACCCTCAGATTCCAGATTTTCAAATAGTTGTATCTCGGTCAAATATTGTCCGATCCTAACAAACCATACATCAATGGAAAGCTATTTATTCAGCTTCCAGATGATGTATAAATCTCATTTTCGAAAAATGGACCCTTAAGACTGCTTTTGTGCTCCAGTGTCACATATATGTACATGATTGGTTCCTCAGAGCTCCTGAAGCAGCTGATGGACTCAGAGAGCAGTGGATCCGCTCTGCCCAACGCTGATTTAGCCAAACTCCTGGAGCGGTCTCAGAGCATGGTGAAGGAGATGGAGAAGAGAAGCTTCACGCCGCAGAAAGACGCAGCTAAGAAGGAGCAAGCAGAAGCAAACAAATGTACATTTACTGTGGATTCATCCTGTGCATGTCTCAGCTGCTCATGCTGATATGTATTGACAGTGACTGCCAGGTGCTGTATTAATTTTTGGTTTCCGTTGCAGTTCTGGAGAATGTTAAAAACATCATAAAGCAGTGCGATGAGAATGAGGCGGCGTCGAAGCGTGTTGACAGTCTACTGAGCAGCTATGAGGCCAAACTGAAAGAGTTAGAGGATCTGCTCAAACAGGCTGATAATACGCTGAAGACAGCCAGCAATCAGAACGACATCAACGCCGAAGGCCTCAGAGATATTCTGGTGAGAATCAAGAACCTCACAATCCTCAAAACTCAAAAACACACGCCGTTGAGAGAGAATGCACATTAGGGATTGTTGTTTCAGGAGCGAGTGAAGGATCTGGAGCGTGAGCGAGACCTCGTCCAGGATCAGATCGTTCTTGCGGTGAAACAGCTCAAAGACACTGAGGACGCCCTCAATATGTTCAATGACAGCAAAACGGTAAGCATTCAGAAACACACAGAGAGCATAAGAGACTGGCTAATTTATAATCACACATTTATAAACGCCTCTGGGTTTGGCTGGATGACTAAATATTCCCTGGTCAAAAAGAAAAATAAGAAAGCATATATATTTATATTTAGCATGTATGAAAGCAGATTATTTATTCATGTATTTGCTTGTTTGTGTGCTCATTCATTCAGTGTGCATTTCCCACATAATGGCACAATGTTAAAATATCAATTGTCCTTAAATACTTTTAATATATATA